AATGACAATGGACTTTCAATGGCTTGTAATTATGCCACTTTCCTGCACAATTTTCTGGGCATCATTTGCATTAAGACTCATATGGGTATAAGTGCACCATATGCTGCTCTGCAAAGGCCTTTTGATCAACTCCACCGCTGAAATTACCAAGTGCCGTGACATTTCCTGGAATGTCTCTGAGCCTCCGCCGTCCGACAGTTTTCTGAATCTGTTAATTAGATGGATCAAGTCCAAAGTTTGTGGCGGCGCGAGCTGACACGTGTGTGATGATTGTGACTGAGGATCACAAAGTGCGCTGAGAGGCACCTTGGATTCATGGCATGAAACGCTGCGTCCTTTTTCAAGGTTATTCAACACTGCGTCTTGTTTGCTTTTTTTTTTTTTTTTTTTTTAAATCCCTCTAAAAGCAGAGAAAATGATGCTGGATGTCTGTGTTGCTGCTGATCTGCCCTGCTGGTATTAAAAGGCCAAAGGTAATACTGCCATCTTGTGGACATGAGGCAGTAGAGCAGCTATGGATCAGAGACACTTCATGATATAAAGAAGGGTTTTTGCTGTAAACCTGAGCAATTCTGTGACAAATGGCTGATATTATTCTTGTCCTAAACAAAATAAATTTGACATCTTTTTGCATCCTGGATAACATCAAAAAGGAGCATAAGAAAACATCTTCAAATCATCTTTTAAAGTCTAACATAATCATACATTTACATTTAATTATCTGTCTTAGCTGCTGAAACAGCCATAATGATAGTAATAGCATTTGTGTCTGGGACCTTTACATGTGCACGGCTATATATGTTCCTGTCTTTTGAGTTGTAATTAGAGCTTGGACGGTATTTTCCTTTCAGATGGCTCTTAATTCTGGGATTTGTTGCTCACAAAAGCCTCTCTCATATCTCTTCCTCTCTGCGGATTTTCAAGCAGTAGGCGTCTCTTATTCAGCTCGAGAGGTTGCTGAAAATAAATCATCACCCTCCCACCAGTATGCAAGAATGTCCAGATGGTTGAATTTTCACTGACGTCCTCCCGCTGAATTTCCCCATTGTCTTTCCACGCTAAAATTAGAAGGTAATACTTGGTGAAAACGCTGCGTCTGCTCTGAGGGTGCTAGTTAATTATCAGGAACTGGATTTATGTTCCACCCACGAATGAACCATCAACGCTGCATTGTGTGAGAGTGTAAAGTCCAAAGCTGAACCTTGAAACCCCCTTGAGGGTTTGTTGGAGAGACCAAATGTGAGGTTTCAACCACAAACCCTCTCTCCTTCTTGTTCCTTTGGCAACAACAAAAGAAAAAAATGCCCTCAAGGTAATTTAGCGACCAAAAGAAAAAGATTACATAGTTTCTGCAATTATCAAGACACAAAAGCATGCTTAAAAAGCCCAAACTAATTTAAATATGCTGCTCATGCTGTAGCTCAACTTGTATTTCCAATCATGCCTCATTACTCCCATTAACATTACTAATTTAGTAGCACAGCAACCCAACTGCTGATCACTTCAGCACTCTATTAGAGCTCCAATATGGCTGTTTTAATCATAGCCTCTACTAAAGCTGATCATTTAATGTCATCAGTATTTCTCAGTAAGTAGCCTGTAACATAATCAATTAATCAATCGTCTACATGTAAGCAGAAAGGCAGCAGGAAATGACCATTGTGTGTTCTGTTTTGATGAGAATTTCCTTTGGCGGCGTTTGACAAATGACCATTTTATCTTCAAATGCAGCGAGGGCTTAAATTCAATGGGGAATAAATCCAATGTTATGAGGCTGGGATTAAACCATCTGCATGATTTGGCACTTCTTTTCATTTTTGCATGCTATATGTGCTTTCCAGGCCAAAATTAGGGGCTTAAGATTTTTTTTGCACTGAGGACTGCATTTTTAAAGAGTGAAACTTGAGTCAAGGCGATCCCAAGTACTTCATGTCGACTGTTCGCATTTGACAGGGAAGAGGTCCTTGCATATTTGGACGACCTAAAAGAGAAAATCAATGCTCTCGGAGGCAACACAAATAAGCCGAACTGTTTTTTGTGATTTGTCATGAAAATTAACCTTTTTCAATAGTACATGGCATGTTTATGGAAGATTAATTGTATAAGCACTGCTTTAAAAGCTGCTGTTTCGTTAATCTGGTGAAGAGTTGCATTCTTCTGCCAACCACGTCGTTCAAGAATGATTGAGAATGATTGAAAAAGTAGTTTAATTTAAAAAGAATCTGAACTCAAGAACCACTTACTACTTTTTTCACCCTAGACCTTTCAACTGCATCGCAAGGTCTTCCTTTGTGAGATAACTGAGAACAAAGACTATAATGAAAAACAGATACAGTAACTGAGCAAATGAGAAGTGGTTGAAAGCTCCAGGCAGAGCCAATGAGTGACTCTGAATGACGACTTTTCAATTTCTGTTCCAAAGCTGAAAAAAACAACAGAAAATACTCACATTTGAAAAGCTGGAAATTAAATTTAAAATAAATGAAATAACAATTAATTCATAAAAATTATTACGCTAATTTGATTCTTTCTAGGGGTCTTGAATCAAATTCACAACTTTTCAAATAGTAGTTAGACTGAATTCGAGGTCCACTAGCTTTTGCCAGAGCTTCAAACCATTACTCATTGTCTACCTCAGCATATGGAGTTTGCTTTAATGTTTTTGAGTCATCATCTCAGTTTCATTTTTCTATTACTGGTCTCCATTGTTAATCTAACAGAGGAAGACAGAAAGCACTAGTAGAAAAAATAGCAAGTAGAAAACAAGTTTTTCTTTTAGGTCAATGACGTTTCTAGAGATGAAACTATTAGATTCATCAGTGGTCCTCTTCACCACTATGACCAACGTTAAAATGCAGTTGTGTCGCTTACCTTGTTCAGTCACCATTGTTCGTTCACACAGGAGGCAAATTTATTCCTAATAAGATTATTTATTGTTGACTTGTCAACGACAGCAACAGGCCAGCAGTAGAACTGGCACTTTAAGAGGAACACTACCTACCTACCTTTTTTGAGCTCTATTGTGTTGTACCGTTCTCAGTTCTGAAACAGAAAATATACCCATATGCTCAGAACATTCCCCTCGCTGCTCTCAGTGTCATCTGTAACATCGTTCCCAATTCATTGTCTGTGGAGCAACTCCAGACCTTTAACCCTATGACATCGTAAATTTGAGTTTTAGCAATTCTAGTTTTTCCACAGATTTGGTCATGTTTACGGATGTTTTTGGACTGTCTTAGACCATAGAAGTAATATGTTTGAATTTTGAAAATGGTCGTACTTCCCCTTTAAACTCCTCTCCACAACCCTCTAACACGCAAGGGTCAGGCCCCCATCAGGTGCTGTAGAGACGCCACTGAAGCTGCTTCAGTAGCCACTAGCATTTGCGCTCGGGTTGATTGTCATCCAATTCAGTTGCAACAGAGCTACTAAAATTTTCTCTTCCTGATCCATACTTCTCTTCCTAATAGATCCCATTTTGAGCCACAGTTATAGTGTTTTATAACTCCTGATGCAACATTTGATTTCTGATTTTGTTGAGGTATTTTCTGGTCAAGTGAATTTTTCCACTCACTCTTTAAAGACAGCTTGGGAAGATGAGTTGGGGTTACAGATTGATGATAATGTTTGGGAGGAGAGCCTCAGTAGGATTCAGTACTGTTCAATTAATGTCAGACATCAGTTAATTCAATTTAAGGTCACACATAGACTTCACTACTCAGAAACTAAGTTACATAGAATCTATCCTACAATCTCTCCTTTATGTGATCGCTGTAAGTCTGTTGATGGCTCCCTAGCCCATCTTTTCTGGATGTGTCCAAAGTTGCATGATTTCTGGAGTAAAGTGTTCAAATGGTTTTCTGAAATATATAATTGTGTGTTCAAGCCCGAGCCAGAGGTGGCACTGTTTGGCTATTCTCTGTCTTTATTGACTCATACCCTCCCTGTCCAGAACACTATTATGTATGGAATGATAATAGCAAAGAGACTTATTTTTATGCACTGGAAGTCAGAAATTGTACCCGTTTTCAAGACATGGCTGACAGAACTTACCTCTGTACTGCACATGGAGAAAATTTGATACAGCATGATGAACAATCTTAAGAAGTTCTACCAGTCTTGGCAGCCATTTTTAGACCATCTTACTAATTTTAATGGGGACCCTGATCATTGATAAGATCTATAATAGGCCACTCACCTCTTCCTTGAGAATTTGTGTTTAAACTTAGAGTACTAGTGATGCTCTTGTTTTACTCACTCTCTTTATTTGCCTTTTTTTTTTTTTTACCTTTATCCTTATTTTTCTTGTATGTCTTGCATTACTTTGAAAAAAACCTAATAAAGATATTGTGCAAAAAAAATTACATTATGGGGGTCTCATAGTATTTTTAATTGAAATTTTGTAGTATTTTGATAGCATGATATAGATTTGAATTTATTTTTATTCCTCAGCATATCACTAGAGGGCGCTCGCTAACCACCAGTGGTACACATACCATTGTTTGAGAGCCAGTGGATGAGACAATGGGCAATAAATTAGTTTTAATAATCAAATGATATCTAATCATTTCTAAACAAAAATGTACAAGGTTTTCACTGTTTTAAGCTTTACAAATGTAAATATTTGCCGGTTTTCTCAGTCTCATGTGACAGTAAACTGACATTTACAGATGTCACCATGGGGTTTGTGAACTTGTGATTTCTCAATGTTTGCGAACATTTTATAGACTCAACGATTAACTGACAGAAATAACTGGCAAATCCTTTAATAATAAAATTAGTGGTTTGTTGCAGCTCTTAAACCTTTGATGGAAAACACCTTTTCAAAAGTGAAAGAAAATATGAGCAAACTCTTCGACCTTGGTGAGTTACTCCTTTCATAAAAGGTTTGCTTTTTTGTTACGTTCTGAAAAGTTTGCCCTCCAACACTGAACATGATCAAAAACTCTTAAGTTAAATCCATGTTTGTGGTTTCTCGTCAGACACTTAAAAACAGAAAATCACTGTGATGTGTAAAAATCACTTTTACACCTTTATTTGGGCTCCCAATACACAAATCGAGGATATGTTCATCAATACAGAGTCTGCTTTAGATCTCATGATACACTGAATGGAGGAAGGTTTGGACTGATGCAATAAACCAACAGATTGAAATCTGAACTACAGTCCTATATACACAATCTTATTTTAGAGATCTGTATTTTCTGATAGTTAATAACATTTATACTGTATAGCGATTGACAAGGTACAATCACAAGGCCTTTTTGCAATTTTAGCCGATATATCTTAAATGCACTTTCACAGCAGATGTAACGTAAACTTCATTTGTAGCTCTATATTGAGTCTGCACATTAAGTTCAGGTGCGGCCTTAGAAGTCCCAATAGACAGCGAATTCTGCCTCACATTTGTTTTGTTTTTTTGGAACTATAAGCAGACCGTGTTTCCCAAGACAGATACCGAAGCTCTGCCGTCGTCGTCAGCAAATGGACGAAGTGATACATCTCCACAGATACAGGTACTAAACCCAAACAGAGGAAGATTCGTTCTTATATCAAAAAAGTTCAAGACCTGAGATTTTCAGTGGAACAAAATGTCTCAACATACAAAAAAAAAAAAACAACCTAAAAACAAAACTGTCTGTAAACTGTCACGATGGCTGCGAACACTAGCTTTGTCTTCCCTTTTGTGACTGAAAACATGCACATTAAAATCATAGTCAGCTCGCGTTAAAAGAATGTTTAAAATTTCATTATTCCAGCCGCATTCTCAAAACTTATTCTTTTTTTGTTGCAAGCTAGTAGTACACAGCTCTATGCATATAATTTTACATTTCTGACAGCTTAACGAGAATCATCAGTAATCAGTGTGTGGACACGACTGAGGGCGATGCAGAATTCAGATAACTTAAGACAAATAAATTCTTTTTTAAAATTCTATTAAACATGGTAATACCTTATTCTAGACAACACTGCCGACTCTCCGAGGGTTACAAGTTCATTCCTTGGGCACTTAGTAAAGAGTCCAGCATGTCAAAAGTGTCTTTGTAGTCAGTGTGTTGGCCGTTAGAGGTCAGCATGCCGTTGGTTCCGTCGTGGCCGTGGTGCTCCATCATCCTCTGGCCGCCGTCTGACACGTAGTGGGACGAGCTGAGCCCTCCTTTGGAGCTCCTGCTGCTCTTGGACGAGTGGTGGTGGTGGTTATGGTTACCAGCGTCAGAGTGGGGCCTCTTACGAGACGAGCTGGAGGAGCCCACGTCAGAAGCTCGTATAGATAAGGAAGAGTTCTCTATTGTCCCTCTGCTGTTTCCACTGAGGGAGTAAGGGTGTGAGTGGCCGTGTTTTGAGTGACGGTGGCTGCTGTGCTCTTTGTGCTTGTCTTTACTAGGCAGAGTCCCGCCCTGCTCTGAGCCGCCGTGACGCTCTGATGAAACTTTGATTCTCATCTTGAGCTCCTCACTTGTGGCGGAGCCGTTCTCACTGAAAGAGGGAGGCAACCGAGCCTTTTTAGAGCTGGTCTTATCTCGCCTGCTGTCACCTGACTGGCCGGCCTGCTGTGGCTGAGAGCGTTTCTTGTGGTGGTGCGAGGAGAGAGCCGGGGGAGGTGCGTACATGTCTGTGCCCGGCTCATCCTTAATACCGTTCTGCAAGGCCATCTCCGCTGCATGTTTCTCTCTGTACTTTTCCAGAGTCAAGACTTTCTGCGGCCGTGAAAAAGTGGTGGCGTTTGTACTGAGCTGCTGGTGTTTACTGCTAGATCCACCTGCAGCTTTGTGTTCGTGTTTCACCAGCGTGAAGTCTGAAAGGTGGGGCTCGGAGAACTGGTCGTAGCCGCAGCTCTTTGACTGATCGCTCAGTGGCTGGTAGGAGGCGTAGGAGGCTGCAATGTTATGAAGGGAGGGCATGTCTGAAGAGTCTGATGAGGTGGAGGGGAAGAAGGAGTTGGTGACACCAGGAAGGCCATCTAAGGACGTCCCCTGGAAGGCACTATCCACTGTGGGGCCCTCCGTCTTTGGCTTCTTAGCTGCTTGAATAGCCTACAAAACAGAATTAAACATGAGATACATACACTTCATTTCCAACCTGTACCAGTCACACTATATGTACTGCCCTTGTAAAGTCACCTGACAAGTATTTATGACTTACCCTCCAGTTTCGTATCCTTTTCAGTTTGCTAGGAGTCTTCTCCAGGATCTGCAGAAACTCATGTGTGAGCTCTGAAAACAGTGAAGAAAACCACATCAGTGATCACCTCTCCATGCTGTAGGCCCAGTTTAACATCTTCCTGATACTATCTGCTGACAGCTCAGGGTCATCGCTGAGACTGCCGTTCACCGGTCCCACATCATACGGTATGTCAGTAGGAGAGACCAGGGACAGCCTCCAAGTTTGATTCACTTCCGTGTCTGAATTGATTTCACTGAAATGCTGAGGTGGACAGAAGTTGCTGCTTTTATTGTGGTAGTCTAAGTTAGGGGTGGGAATCACCTGAGGATCCATGATATGATATTATCACAATACTTAAGTCTTGCTAGAATATTACTGCGATTTTAAATATGTTGCAATATGCAGAGCACTACGATAAAATATATTACGATATACAGCAATTTATTACCTTTTTTCAACTGTAAAATACATCCCCAAAGGAAAACTTTGTCAACATCTGTTTTATCTAATATGGTAAAGTTTTCGGTCTGTTCGTCCGTCTGTCAGTCTGTATCGTATTATGTAATATTAATAATTTATATAATTTAAAAAAAAAATGATAATTTTTGTGTGACGATACGATATTGCCAAACAAAAATATCACAATACTATGCTGTATTGACATCATATTCCTTTCGAGAAAAACAAAGCGACAAAGCAGAAAATAGCCAATGGTCTGAGGACATAGACCTTCAGCTGCTCAAATAGTGATTAGAGTTCAGACAGCCCAGCTTAAACTTCCTGCCAGATCAGCAAACCAGTGCTGGGGTTCACAGCAGGCTGGATCTTTACTGTGTAACAGCAGCAATCCAGCCTGCTGTGAACCCCAGCACTGGGGCTTGCACCAGCTTAATTCAAGTTGCTACAGCCCCTATTGTCTCCATCTCCAGAGCCTCTGCACCCTCTCCTCCTGGCAAATTGTTGTCTCATATATGGTGCGCTAAACAAAAGAGCAAGCGAGAGTGGAGCCAGGGGCTAAACGAATCAATGCGTTGAGTGCAGCTCCAGAATGGAATATGATTTTACCCATTTTGAATAGTCCAAAAAAAAAAAAAAAAAAGAAAATCAGTATGTCATACGTTGCGGTAAATTTTGACATTGTGCCGCCCACCACAAATAAATCAACGTGTGGGAAACACTTGCGGGCTTAACGGACAGGGACACCAATGCAGCAGTTTAAGTTTGCCTCAAAAGGAATGTACATTTGTGTGTACATTTTAGTGACTAAATAAGTAAGTTAAGTTTATTGAATACAGCATCATTCACAGAGTAAGGTCAAACAATTAGTCTACTACTTATCTATGCAGTGTATGATGCTGCTGAAGCAGAAGTCTCTAAGACTGACATGATGTGTATTGTTTTTTTAATATGTCTCATGATATACTGCCACTAAAAGTGTATGATTCCACTTCACAAAAATTCCAGTTCATACTGGAATCACATAGGTCATATTTAAAAATGAATGTGAACAGCAGAAAAAAATACCCTCAATCAAATCTGATCTTAGCTACACATCGAGCACTAACGTACTGACGAACGTAGTCTAATACTGATCTAATGGGAAAAATCTGATACTTAATTTGCAGATATCTTTAGGTTCAGAAATGGTTTGGGAAAAATAACTTTTGAGTGAGTGAGAAAATTAAAAACACCCCCACCTAACAGAGCATTAATCTTCTCTTTGACTTAAAACATTTTAAACAATACAGTTATATATAATTATATATGAAGTCAAAAACAGGATAAACTAGTAATAGAAGCTCTTACCATCCAGCAGCTGTAACGTAACAGTGCGGTCCACGTACTCCCACCAGTGTTTGCTATCTGTAGACACAGGGATCTCCCAGTTGGACCACTTGCAGGCCAGATGGATGCAGACACATGCGACGACTGTGGGCCTGTACTGCAGGCAGAAGGTGGTGAGGTGCAAACTGCAGGAGGAGACAAGAAACACGAGAAAGATACAACCGTCAGCCGGGGGCCTTTTATTCTAGCATACCATATATAATATACATTCTAGAAAGTTTAACAGGCCAACATTAACATTACATTTAAATTAATTGCTTAACACGATACGGACAATCAATAAAACTCAAATATTATTTCCACATCACATACACACAGCCTTACCTTTACAGAACAGGAACAGCTAAGAAAACCTATGACTGTTAGGATTACGTTCCTAAATGTATGAATGAGTCATACAAACACTTTCATACAATATACTGAACCCGTATTTGACGCACATTATTAATTGTCCTTTCATTTGATTTGTTTTTTTGTAATTACAAAACACTAAAAATAATGTTTCTCAATCTCTTAATGAACAATAATTTTAGGGAATTAATATTTACAAACAAATAAAATCTACTCACTGCTTGTATTAGTGTAACATGAGTAATGACGACTTAACTCGGCCATCACTGAATCATCATGAGAACTTTGAAGGGACAGTTCAGCCCCAAATCAAAAATACATATTGTCCCTCTTACCTGTAGTGCTACTTATCAACTAGATTGTTTTGGTGTGAGTTGCAGTGTTGGAGATATCAGCCTGTGGATTATCTTGGGTACATTTTTTTCTGTGCTTTCAGCACCACAAGCTGAGTGCCATCTTGTTCCAATATATACGAGACAAGGCAGACATCTCTATGGCCAACATCTCTAACACTTGGCAACTCACACCAAAACAATCTTGTTTGAGAAACTGCACTACAGGTAAAAAGAAAAAATATGTATTTCTGATTTTTAGGTGAATTGTCTCTTTAAGACTGAGAAACACTGATGTTGGTAGTAGCCAAGACAAATGATTAGGCTTTAAGTTTTCTACGGTTAATTTTCCTCTGCACCCCGAATCCCAAACTACGCTGCAAACCGACTGTCATGCACCGAAGCAAAAACATGACTACATGCACCACAGTGATAAAAGACAGTCTGGGCTGAGATAACCAGGGCGCATTTCAGATTTAATCCGAAGAATCACACCTTAAAATTAAAGTAGAAAAAACACTAATATCTGAGAAAAACTACAAGCGTCCTATTCTTAATATAAGCAACTGGAGTGACTCCCCCTCAGTGGGATGGTCCTGTTTTATAACACTCCCAGCCACAATGCAGACATGACGACAGTGTTGTAATTTGAATGCAGACAACAGTGCTGCTTCTTTATGTGTATAGGTAAATGTAGTTAGCTGGATTAGAAAATATGCTAAAATGATGACATAGCTTCTGTTAATGTGTGCATGACTTAAAAACACTAAATGAACATACAATTAAAAATAGTAGGTAGCTTGATTCAGCTGTCTTACATTTCCCCAAATGTTAAAAATACCTGTAACAGTGCTACATCTTTTAAATAATGTGCAAACGTTGTATGCGTGGAGCTGATGTTCAAACTGTTTACTGTAGCCTGAGGAGCCTTATCTCTAACTGCCTAACCCCTCCTCCAGCTGGACTCTTTAACAGACTGTTTGCTCTTAGCAGTGGGGATTGTTTTTCTGTTGTTTTGTCTGTTTGTCTGAACTTTTCTCCAAGTTATCATTATTTTATATGGTCATTATCACCAATGAAGTTGTTACATAGAATCCAGAACTTATTTATTATGTATGAAATCAAAGTAAGAGATCCTTTCTACCATCATTTGCTGGGAACATCAATCTCTCAGACTTGCATATCAAACTAGCAGGCTCTGTAAAACAAGTAAAATGAACACCTAAGAAGTCAGTTACTGAAATACAACAAAGCAACAGCAGCACAATATTATCAAAATTAGCAGGTAAGTGTTTATAAAGTCAAAACTAATCTTTAGGAAGACATAACCCTACAATATTCATGCATTACACAACTGAGATGGTCATAGAAACTAAATTACCACACAGAACAAGCTTTCAGTTTGCAGCGCAGTTTGGCGTTTCATTGTTAGCTCTTTTAGGGTGAAAAAATGTGCAAAAAAATAAAAAGTTAAAAAAGAACTGTAAACTGTACTTACCAAAGCACTCTATAAGTTTAAGAATCTTTAGTGGCAATCTATATTCAGGCTACCGCTTGCGTTTTTTTTTTTTTTTTTAGACATATGCACTCGGTACCAAACAACCTTGAGAGGTAAACAGCACCACTACACTCCACATTGTGCATTCAACCCCTATGTGCCAACACAGAGCCCTTGTACAATACACCGCACACAGCAGCCCAGCTGGTACTTCCCCACATTGGAGGTTCCCAGGATCCAGGCGCAAACAGGGCGTTGGACACAGGAAGGGGGGCCCTGCAGGACAGGAAGCTATAGTGTGCCATTACAGTGCAATAATGGGAACAGGATAATAACCTGTTGGTAGCCATGAAATAGGAAGTCTGTGCCAAATCCTTGCTTGCTGTAAAAGAAGAAGAAAGTTCATTTTAGAACTTCAGCGTAAATCAAATTACACAGTACAATTCATGTATCTGTAGAGATGAAATGCTTGGAAGCTGCCAGTGTAAATCCTTTACTTTACAGTGAGATAATGATTTTCAATTTTAAAAAAGTTCTTTGAAAGAAATATAATGTGACAAAAGCTGAGAAAGAAGGTTATACCTCGCACTAGCTGGGAACACCTCACAACATCTGTGTGTGGATGATCAACTGTTATTTCAAAACCTGCAACAGAGATGTTGAATGTAGATGATCAGCCACTGGTGTGAGCACGTCAGCAGAATTACAACTCGAGCGTTATATTGTGGTGTACATTTGTTTTAAAAAGGAACCACAAGAACAACCCCAAGTGTTTGTTAAATATTTGAAAAGGCAAACTTCATACCCAGTGTCAACATGCCCATGTAGTACTTGTAATTTTGATGTTTGCACTTATTCCTTCCGTGGGAATAATGCTGCTACAGTGGCTGACTGGAGAAGCCAGTAAAGCAATTCAGCACACACACACAAAAAGAGAAAATACAGTACATGCAGTAATAAAACTCACCCAGCGTCTGCAGCACTATCGTTTCCAGTGCTACAAGCTCTTGTGTCTGCTGCTGGAATGCCTAAAACAGATCAATGAACAATTTTAAATCTGCTTCCCGACACCTTTATACTGATGATTTAAGTAGTTATCAGCAATCTTACAAAGTAAAAGCACTGCCAGCGGGAAAATCTGTAAAGAGGGGTGGAGAAGCTTTTTGAAGAGGGTACTCCTGCACCCTTTTAGCATTCTGATATAACAGCTTAACTGTATGGGCGTAGTGCAGCCTTTCAATTTGAGGACCTCAAACAAATGTTGAAAAATCCTATATGCTCTTGTACAGGAAGAACCGGAGTTGATATGTGCTGTTCATCTTGTGTCATACAGCATCTCTTTGAAATACCCCAGGTTGAAAAGCAAAGGAGTTTAAACTTCTGCATTGTTTCTGCACTTTGATTTAAGGCGATCACGTTATAAAGAGAGAAACAGCCTTTACATCACATCTCATACAATGCAGGCATATAAAGCAAAGGCTACTAACTGTAGGAAACTCTCGGGATTCAAATCACTGAGTCACTAAGGTGCAAAATTTTGTGGCACTACTGAAAATACAGATTTGTGTGACAGTCCTGTCCACCGAGGGGGGAATACAAGCTTCAAAAAACCACTTCAAATGTACATAACCAAATTATCTTTGTCCTTTCTCCCAATTACAAATCAACGTGGTTAATAAGGCAAACAAAGCACGATTGCAATATGTATAATGTAAGTAAATATAACACATACTTAAAGCATTAGTACTAGTGGACTTTCATTTGACAACTGTCTTTTTTAATCCAAATCTTATCTGCAACATCATCACATAAACTTTATATCCCTCAAATTGTAGCAGAGATGACTTCGCAAACAATATTTCAGCTGTCGATTAGTCATTTGATCCATGACAAATCAGAAATTTGTAGAAAATGCTTAACAACAATCACTTCAGCCAAAGATAATATTTAAAATGACTATCATAAGAGCCAAAGAAAAGCAGAGAAAGTCTTTCCTCCCCAAAGCCTCACAACATTTCCTTATTTAGTCACCAACAACTGAATAAACTGCATGAAAACCAAATCCTCAGTTGTAGTGTACTTACATTGCTCTTAGTGTCTAGGGCAGGCTCTTGTGGGTTAATGCAGGCATGGGCTATCTTAATGACATGCTCCAGCTTTCTGGGCTGCTCCTCAACTTTAGCTGCCAGGAACAACGTAGTCTGAGAAATGACCTAGAGAGAAGAAAACCTCAGTCAGATTTCATAGCCGGCACTGCCAGTAATTATAGTATCAGCCAGCACTGCAGTGGTACTTACATTTCTATGGAATTTGCTGAAGGAGTGAATCATATAAAACCTGTGCATATATACTATAGCAGTGTTGATAATCAGTTGCGATCTGGGGATACAGTTTAGGCATAATACATGTGTGATATACATGACAAATCAATTGACTAGCAGCCATGGTGTAGAAATCCTGACCCATTAGCATCGAGCTAGCGTTGAGTAGTCAGCTAGCAAAACGTGTACCCTGCATGTAAAAAGTAATCGCCTTATATATTCATTTGCGTCAACTTTTAAAGATGTAATAAGCCATTTGTGACGTAGAAGTAAGCTTATATTACACGTACAAACTGTATCAGAAATCATTCGTCACTGAAATGATTAGACACAAAGCTAACAATGGAGTCCTCAGTCTACAGAGACAAACAATAGCTAAGCTAGCAAGCAGGCCTGAACGCTCCCAGATAGAGTCACATAAACACCATGTTAGACAGAGTTAGATACACCATTTTGTCAGAGAGGACTCTGTGTATGATAGTGAAAGATTTTAAGTGTGTTTTAAGGGTTTTAATATAAGCTGTGACAAGCCTCGCCATCCCGGCCCGTGTGTAAGCTAATGCTAACTGAAGCTAGCCCGTCTGTCGGCCAGCTAGCCTTTGCGTTTCAGAAAGGATACACGTTGAGTCTCTGGCCTATGTCTTGGATTAAGTTGGCGGCCTGTTGCCGGTAAGAGAGCTCCCTGTCGGCCTCTATTCCGCTGCGACGAGACGGCGTGTTTTCGAGCTGCTCCCGGGTGAAGAGCCATTTCGTAGAGGGTCCCCGGTGCACCGCCATTACGCTCCCACATCCAAGCCCGACGGTGCTAGCATCGGGAGGGAGTGGGGCGACGGGGGCACCGGAAGGACGAAATAAGCAGCCGAAGCTGGCAGAAACCGGTAACCTATTTTCTGAACAGCGCCACCAGTGGTCGGCGGTGCAAATAGACCTCATTGTTGCCATACATTATTGCTAAAAAATACTTTATTTCATGTGTAGTATGTAGATGTATTTAGCTCTTTAGTCAGAAGCTACTAACTGTTGCTTTCCTGTTTAATTTATCAAAGAAAATAAGTTAATTGGGGGCGAAATATTCAAGATTCAAGGAGTTTATTGTCATTTACACCATACAATTCTTCTTCACACGTTTCTTCACCTCTTTTCCACGCTGCTCTGGACTGTTGACCCTAAGTGCTTAAAATCCTCCACCTTCTTTATTTCTACTCCCTGTAACCTCACCGTTCCACTAGGGTCCTGTTGGTCAGTCTTGTTGTCCTGGATCCCACACTCTTGTAGCATAGTGTGAAAAGACTGTGGTTGGGGTGTGTACTGTCCTTTATGATGTTGTGGGCCCTCCTGATGACCCTGCTGGTGTAAATGTCCTGAATGGAAGGAAAGGCTGCTCCTGAGATGCCGTTTTAATCACACGCTGGAGGACCTTCCTTTCCTGAGCAGTACAGTTTCCATACCAGACTGTGGTTGAGCTGGTGAGGACACTCTCGACTGTACATCTGTAAAAGTTGCTGAGGATATTGGTTGGCATGCCAAATTTCCTCAGCTTTCTTAAGAAGTACAGTCACTGCTGAGATTTCTTGATGATCTGTTGTGTGTTGTTAGACTAGTGAGATCCTCGCTGATGTGGGTGCTGAGAAATTTAAAGGTTTTCACCCTCTCTACCACTGTCTCACCTATGTGTAATAGCATGTGCTCCCCTTACCTCCTCCTATGATCAATAACCTCTCCTTGGTCTTGTCTGTATTTAGGGGGAGGTTATCATCACCAGGCCACCAGTTCTGCCACCTGCCACTAGGGGTCACAACTGTACTTTGCATTATTATTACTGTAAAGCTTAGAAATCAAAGTTTAATTTTGAACCCTATTGCTTTCAGAGCTGGTGAATGCTGATTGTAAATTATCTCCTTATTATTTGCCACCAAGCGTCTATATAATGGAGCAAGGTCTCAAGACTGTCAAGACATTAAAGGGGAACACCACCTAAATTTAGAACTCATCATCATCATTCATCCTGTAACTGCTTATCCTGTTAGGGGTCACGGGAGGGCTGAAGCCTATCTCAGCTGACACTGGGCGTGAAGTGGGGCACATCCTGCAATTGGACACATACACTCATCGGCCACTCTGGGCCCCTTAGTACCAACTGAGCATGGTTTAAACACCACAGCCTACCTGAGTATTGTTGCTGACCGTGTCCATCCCTTTATGACCACAGTGTACCCATCTTCTCATGGCTACTTCCAGCAGGATAACGCACCATGTCACAAAGCTCAGATTATCTTAAACTGGTTTCTCAAACATGACATTGAGTTCACTGTACTCCAATGGCCTCCACAGTCACCAGATCTCAGTCCAATAGAGCACCTTTGGGATGTGGTGGAATGGGAGATTCTTATCATAGATGTGCGGGCTGACAAATCTGCAGCAACTGTGGGATGTCATCATGTCAATATGGACCAAAATGTCTGAGGAATGTTTCCAGCACCTTGTTGAATCTATGACAACGAGAATTAAGGCAGTTCTGAAGGCAAAAGGGGTCCAACCTGGTACTGGCAAGGTGTACCTAATAAAGTGGCCAGTGAGTGCTCTAGTTTTTGGATTTGGGAGAGAGTTGTTCATGTTAATACCAATATTTTTGGACTGTCTTAGACCTTTGTAATAACATGAATCTTGAAAATGGGTGTAGTCCTTTTTAATATTTGGTCAATATGATAAGGGAATCAGATCACAGCTGAGGTTGTTATTCACTGAAATGTGGCTTCATTATATTTGTTATCAGAATTTCATCTGGCCTGCATTACTCTGTTTTCACCACTAAATGGAGGCAGAGACCAAAAACAGAAGTCAGGCTCAGTGAGTGAAAACTCCCTCTGGCCCAAGTGGTCCAAGAAAACAAGATTCACGTGAAGCATGGGTTTACTAATTAGCTGTGGCCTGGGCTGTATGAATTCCAGAATAACAACATGCAACCTGGTTAATGCTGATTCAAGTGTGGAGTCTGTTTATGAAATGTCAAAAAACTGAATGTGATAGGCCTCATATTTTAATCAACCCCCCTTACATGTGGAAATTGTTTTTTATAGTCAAAGTGGACCGACATTTGTTTATACATGAAAGCCCCACATCAGCTCACGGTTGTACCCCAGAGGAAGCAGAATAAGTCTGCCTGCTTATCAAGTAGCTCTGTATCTTAGCAACCCGTTACCGGAATCCCGTTGCTTTCCCCCGGTGTAGTGTAATAGCCTAATTATTCAAAGCCAAAACATAAAGTCGTCACACCTCAGACTTATGAGACCTGATTGTAGTTGCCCTCTGACACCGAACAAAATGATGAAAATGACCATCTTTATTTGAGGGTGTGGTGACAGAAAAGTAAAGTAAGAAATACCCCTATGTGCTGGTTTTCCGCTCATGAGGACAATCCGTTGCGTCTAACTTATTACCACATTATTATCTGTCAAACAGCGCACGAGACAGCCGAGCAACGGGTCTAGTCTGTCTGCACGTCCGCCGGCTCGCTCAATCCACATGGGACAGATGTTTTCCTCGCGCGTGTGGCGCAGAGCGCGCGGCACAGCAGCAGCTTTGCTCGACTCCAGCGCGAGCGCAGGTCTCGTGAGCTCCACCGGGACTGTTAATTAGAGTCCAGGTGCGGATATTTCACGACGTCGCGAATTGGAGCCGCTTGTGAATATTTGTTTCTTTTGCTTGTCCAGACTGGGAGCATCAGGTTTGTCATTAGACGGCCATACTACCGGTTACCGCCTTCAAAATAAATAGCCAGCCTATTTCTGTGGAGGAAAACATACAACTTTGAGCTTTAATAAGCTAGTGATAAAGAACTCAGCTGTTTTTACTCAACCAAGTAAAAGTACCATTAAAACAATATAAAATTAAGCTAGAAGTGTAAGGTCTGCAGTCAGGCATTTAGGCTACTAAACAGCATTAGAGCCTATTTTAACCACATTATTATCTACAATAATGCGTGATATTTTCATTTATCATGTGTTTTGAATGAGGAATTCAATCTAAAATGTAACTAGTAGCCTAACTGTGTACGTTAAATAAATAAATAAATTTAACGTACACAAACGGATTTGGGTACTTTTAAAAAAATACCTAGATCCGTTGGAAATGTAGTTTAGTTTAAGTATAAAGTGGCACTCTCAGGTAAAGTGTCCAAATATACAGTCCTTAAATTTAAATCGCCCAAATTATTACAGTATTTTGGGTATCAATACAATATCGTAATGATAAATACTTTTTATTTTGTTTCAGGTAGGCGTTTGTTTTGAAGTTCACTCCTCCTAATTTCCGGTATTGTTTCACCTCACAGTGTGCAATTTGGCGCAACTGGACCTGCAGCCCTGCAAGGAGTCTCCCTCCTTCTCTGTCTCTGGGTGTCTCCCCACGTTGAACGCTTGCACTTCTCGCCCAGGTGTGACATTTTTGGAGTGCAACACTGGAACCGCAACCTGCCGAGAAGATGACGGACCCCACACCGCCAGACTCCACCGCCGTCCCGGACCCGGTTGTAGTAGTGGACCCCACGGTGGTGAACGGGCAGTGCGAGCAGGCGGACTCCCAGCAGCAGCAACAGCAGCAGCAGCAGCAGCAGCCCAACACAGAAAGTCAGGGAGAAGGTTTAAAGATGGATCAGGAGATGAAGATAACAGACAGCATAGAGGACGGAGGTAAGTGAAATATGTTAAAAGTGTAGGATTCACAGGGTGCCCCGTGGCCAGGGCGCACACTGTGCGTAATGCCATGGAGAGCAGCCCTATGTAAAGTATATTACACTGTAATACACTTTGAATCTGCTCACACCTGTACTCCTTTATGTAATTTGCTCCTAGACGTTCCAAATTGCGCACAAATGAGACTTTATTTCTGGGGGAAAGAGATGGCAGGCTATAACTAATGACTGACACTTTAATGTAATGGTCAATATGATGAATTATTTACAGAGCTGAGCAGAAATTGAACACAGAGTAATCTGTTGGACATATGTTACCTTAAATACTGTGCAGTGATTACAGGTTTTGTGAATAAATTAATGGATTGCCTTTGGGAAAGAGTGAAGCCCACAGACAGCCATTTAAACACTGGCAGGTGTTCCATATCTTAAAGATGCCACAGATAACATCGTTTTTGTATTTTTGCCAGCCTGAGTAATTAGATATTAAATATTGACACAGTATTGGGCCATATCTTGAAATAGAGGTCTCTTTGATAAGTTTTGATGAGGTAAAAAGAGAAGATTATTATGAGGGTGCTAAGAAGAGATTGGTTTGGAATGTTTCAGACTTCTCAGAACAGTCTGTCCTTACAATATTACTACATAACAGTCCTGTAACTCTGACTCACACAAAAGCAAACAATTAATTTGAGTGGATAACTCAGGCATATTTCAAGCCTCTGCAAGTTTATTGTCATACCAAAGTGAAAAAAAGTGGAATATAGCTGCCTGGAAGATGTGGAGGATCCAGATTAACTAAAGGGACTTCATAGATTTTACACAAATGATTTCAGGGTCTTAAGCAGTGGTTCTCAACCTCTTTTTGTGTCAAGGAACCCTAAATTAGATAAAATTTCACTTCAGGGACCTCCATCTGAAAAGATTTTGGTTAGTTATGGTAACATCAATAGTTCTGAGGAGGTAACAGTGGGGGTTGTGAAACCTATGATCAGAATAGTCACTCTTTATGACTTTTACTCACATTGGGCTCTGTCCCCTGGTGAGTTAAAGGTCTGGTGTGTAAAATTCAGTGGCATATTGACATAAATGGTATGTTATATTCATAACTATGTTTTCATTAGTTTATAATTACCTCAAACTATGAATCATTGTGTTTCTGTCACCTTAGAATGAGCTGTTTACATCTACATACGGAGCAGGTCTTCCTTCGTGAAGTTTGCCATATTGTTCTACAGTAGCCATAAATGGACAAACCAAATATTGGCTCTAGAAAAGAGCTTTTGCATTATTACACTCAGCACACATGACAAGTTTTAGTTCAGTAGCCTCACTGCTAGATGCCACAAAATCTTACATACTAGACCTTTAGATAGTGAAAATGAACTGTTCCCCATTTTCCGGGAATCCCCTGGAACCCCCTCAATGATCCTTGGGGGCTCCCGAACCCCTGGTTGAGAACCACTGGTCTAGAGGATAGAAAACTTGAGTTTCCCTGGTAAAGGAAAATGTTTGGATGAATACTAAACAGGATCAGACTCAAAAAGTGAATTTAGTGTGAAGTTACTCTTTAAATATCAAACTAGGGACCTTTTAAGCTTATGACAACTCACAAAAAAGACTGTTTAGTTGGGGTCACATTTAGTTGCCTATTTAGCTATTTTTAGCAGCTCAGAGAGAAAAGACACATTTGCCCCCTGAGCTTCTCACATGGTTTTCATGTCAGTGACAGTCTTATAATGTAATTTATTACATTATGGCTCACAGGAAATGTTTTACAGAAAACATTTTTTCTTATTACATTTTGTGGATTAAGTTTACTGAAATAGGATCCATCCAAATCAGTAATGCAGTGTCATAACTATTAGTTACTTTTGGGTTACTGTGCAGTTTTCCTCAGTCTACTGTTGTATATTGAGAATCAGCAACAAGCACCATCATCATATATTTGAGTTGACCACTTTGTACCTATATACTCAATCAACATATGGATGGATTGCCCTGAAAGTGTGTAGACATTCATGGTCTACACAGTGACTTCCTCCAGTGCCACCATGGCGTTTGAGATTATCTGTGAAATGCCTTGACAGCTGTTGAATGGATTACCATGACATTTGGTACAGACATTTATGTTCCATTTAGTATTTAAATTGCAGTCACTTTTGTGACCCCGTAACTTTTCCTGTAGCACAGAATTTTAATCTGTCCAATATACAAGTCACATTGCATATTATCAGTCAGTTTAATGGTTGTTAGTTTGGTGTTACAATAATACATATGCAGATTTTCTAAATGTGGAAACTGAACTTTAAAGCAGTAAAGCTGAGTTAAACCACCCCCTCTGTTTTCCTACCCTGCCCTTTCTGAGTCATATTTGTCTGGATGCTGTGGGTCACTTTGCCCTGTATGTCGTCTACAGGCCTTCTGGAGAGCAGCATGCGTCTGAAGCCTCATGAAGCACAAAGTTACCGCAAGAAAGCTCTGTGGGTGTCTTGGGTGTCCATAGCGATCACCATCATCCTGGCCATCGCTGCTTTCAGTGAGTAACACTCCTCCTTTGACGAGTCCTTTGGCTCACAGGAAGTGATGTTTTTTACAGTTCTGATCATAGACACAAATAGAATACAAAGAAATATTGATGCCTGCTGTTCGGTTCTTCAGTTGAACGACGGGTTTGTTAATTACTGTGACACCCTGCTGATCAATGTGACGCCCAACAGCCTGATTAAACAACAGTACTTCAAAGAAAGACAACATGAAGAACAAGAAACTGATGTGAACACGCTGCTTTGGCGGTCCACTCGTCATGCCGAGATCCTGCTTCATTCTCTCCTAAACCTTTTGCCTACCACCGCTTCCACGTTAAATGACAATTTCCCTCAGTTAAGAAAGCAACATGGAACGTTTGTGCTGTCAAGAGTGAGATCGACCTTCACTTTTGCTGTTGTTTTGAAGTTTCATTCCTTTCAGAGGCAGAACAAGTTTGAGTATCTCGGTCTTAAGCGTTCGGATGAATCATTCTGGGTTTTGACATTGACAAGAGAAAGGGAAGAATTCTGACTGTCTCTCAGATGTCAAAGGTTCCCACTTTGAATCTAATTTAGGATAGAAGTGATTCACTCTGTAGGTGTAATTCAGGTTATATTTCATCATGCTTTTCAATTTGTTAGATTGAATTTGAAGGCCAGTGTTAGAGAATCCAGCAGATTCCTCAAACATCTGACAGACTTGAAGACATCTAGAGATGAATGTATGTCCCACATCATTACAAACATGACGTAAAATCTGACAAGTGGTGCTCGAGATGATTTTTGATTATCAGAATAGCACAGTTACTCTTGTCTATATTCAAGTGATGCTTCTTCCTCCCCTGCAGTAAATGCAGATTAGTGCTTGACAGATGCATACGTAAAGAGGACAAGCTCTGCTGCAGTGTAGCCAATCACCTCAGCATTGGTTTGCAGATGTGCAGAGATATGGGTTTCCTGTAATGCTAAAGAAAGATAGCATGCTGCTCTTCTTCTCCGTGACTGTGTTTTCAAATGCTTTTGAGATGAAATGTCCATTGAGCCTGCTGAGAAAGACTTTCCACATGTGCAAACTGGACCTCATCAGGCATTTTAATCACATCTGTGCCGTCGTGCAGTGGTGCCGCTCACATGCCACATCATGCCCGCTCTTTCTCATAAATGAAACATGGCACTGCTTGCAAATGACCTGCAGAAATGAGCAGCGGAAGAGATGAATGAGGTGGATGGAACAGCAGTGACTCCAGTAAATAGTGATCTGACTTCCAGTCACGCCGAGCCAGCGTCATTACAAAGACATAATTGTGTTATTTCCAGAGTAAAGCAGACCTGTGTGATGAAAAGTGGTTCAGCAGTTAACTGGATTCTTGTTTGAGGATAAAATTAGTAGTCAGAATTAGATTTTTTGGAATAAGTTGACCACTTGTGTCAGAATTATGAAGCAACCAAGCACGTTGTTGGAGTGAAGTGGTTAAAGGATGGAGACGTTTTGTTTTGGAAAATCAGAGCCTCTTCCTGAGCTCAGTCCGTGTTGTTTCAAACATTTTGCCCACTTCCTGTTCTGATAAGGAAACACCGGCAGAGAGGCAGGACTGGACAGGCCTGTCTTACAACTTCCTTCTCTTTCATGTATGTGTGTGTTAAGTTACTTATACTATATGTTAAATACATTCCTCTCTGAGAGGTCCATTCAATGCAAACTGAAGAATCCAGTCCCACTTAGCTCAGTTGTAGATGCTTTGTGTTGTGGTGAAAAAATGTTGCCTGTAGTCTGCTTTTATTGTGTCAGAAAAGCTGCAAATTATATTACTGATTTATAATAGATTTATATATTAATACCATACCATATCATATCATTTCAGAATAGGATAATATGTAAATAGGTCTCACCTGCAACAAACGTCCTATTTGACACTGTAGTGAAAATGAAATTTTATGAGCAAACAAGTGCACCAGTTACATGATCACAGGAGGTTTAACTGTCACTAGCTCTTTGGAAACAAGCCAATGTGTACTGAAAGTAAAACATATCCTCCCTGTTGTAAATAAGAACAGTTTTAATAAGCAAAGACTGTGTGGGAAGAGTCCTGTTATTAACCAGCTGTTAGCACCACACTCTGTCCTCCTTTATGCTTGTTACAGTAGCACTGTGCTTGGACAACACGTTGGCATGTCTGTTCCTATAAGGAGCTTCCTGCATAATGGTGACATCATAAAATGATGTCACCATTATGATGACATCATAAAATGAGCCATGCAGATAAAACTAACTCCCTTAAAACTAATGGACTCTATACCTAATAATCAATAATAAACTAAATTATAAAGAGATAATGGTCTTGAGAATTAGAGAATATGAAGTGTAAGTATTGCCCCATGTTTAGTGCCTCTATAGAATCATTTAGATATTAGATAGAACAAGCTGAAAATTACATATTTTCACCACAAAGCAGGCAGTTTTATAAAACTGTGATTATCACTGTTCATTTTTCTTATGAAAGGAATAATTTAACATTTTGAGAAATGCACTCATTCGCTTAGATGAGATTATTGATACCACTCTCATGCTACACTGAACAAAAATATAAATGCAACACTTTTGTTTTTGCTCCTATTTTTCATGAGCTGAACTCAAAGATCTAAAACATTTTCTATATACACAGAAGACCATTTCCCCTCAAATATTGTTCACAAATCTGTCTAAATCTGTGTTAGTGAGCACTTCTCCTTTGCTGAGATAATCCATCCCACCTCACAGGTGTGGCATATCAAGATGCTGATTAGACAGCATGATTATTGCACAGGTGTGCCTTAGGCTGGCCACAATAAAAGGCCACTCTGAAATGTTCAGTTTTATCACACAGCACAATGGCACAGATGTTCATTTCTCTACCATAAGCCGTCTCCAAAGGTGTTTCAGATAATTTGGCAGTACATCCAACCGGCCTCACAACCGCAGACCACGTGTAACCACACCAGCCCAGGACCTCCACATCCAGCATGTTCACCTCCAAGATCGTCTGAGATCAGCCACCCAGACAGCTGCTGCATCAATCGGTTTGCATAACCAAAGAATTTCTGCACAAACTGTCAGAAACCGTCTCAGGGAAGCTCATCTGCATGCTCGTCGTCCTCATTGGGGTCTCGACCTGACTGCAGTTCGTCGTCGTAACCGACTTGAGTGGGCAAATGCTCACATTCGATGGCGTCTGGCACGTTGGAGAGGTGTTCTCTTCACGGATGAATCCCGGTTTTCACTGTTCAGGGCAGATGGCAGACAGCATGTGTGGCGTCGCGTGGGTGAGCGGTTTGCTGATGTCAACGTTGTGGATCTACTGGCCCATGGTGGTGGTGGGGTTATGGTATGGGCAGGCGCATGTTATGGACAGCGAACACAGGTGCATTTTATTGATGGCATTTTGGATGCACAGAGATACCGTGACGAGATCCTGAGGCCCATTGTTGTGCCATTCATCCACGACCATCACCTCATGTTGCAGCATGATAATGCACGGCCCCATGTTGCAAGGATCTGTACACAATTCCTGGAAGCTGAAAACATACCAGTTCTTGCCTGGCCAGCATACTCACCGGACATGTCACCCATTGAGCATGTTTGGGATGCTCTGGATCGGTGTATACGACAGCGTGTTCCAGTTCCTGCCAATATCCAGCAACTTCGCACAGCCATTGAAGAGGAGTGGACCAACATTCCACAGGACACAGTCAACAACCTGATCAACTCTATGCGAAGGAGATGTGTTGCACTGCGTGAGGCAAATGGTGGTCACACCAGATACTGACTGGTTTTCTGACCCCCCCAGACCCCCCCAATAAAGCAAAACTGCACATTTCAGAGTGGCCTTTTATTGTGGCCAGCCTAAGGCACACCTGTGCAATAATCATGCTGTCTAATCAGCATCTTGATATGCCACACCTGTGAGGTGGGATGGATTATCTTGGCAAAGGAGAAGTGCTCACTAACACAGATTTAGACAGATTTGTGAACAATATTTGAGGGAAATGGTCTTTTGTGTGTATAGAAAATGTTTTAGATCTTTGAGTTCAGCTCATGAAAAATGGGAGCAAAAACAAAAGTGTTGTGTTTATATTTTTGTTCAGTGTAAATATGTAGCTAACGACTTGTGATTTACAGGAGTTGCATGCTCTGTCTGTTTCTTGGCAACCAGCAGGGGTGTAATGAGTTTGCCAAAAAAACAGTTACAGCACATAGCTCGTTTAATGCTTCTTTTTTGTATGGATTGATCAAACAAAATAAGACGTTAATTAGTGATCTTCAGAGGCGCTGGTAGGCAGATTTTTTAACTTTTAAAAGAGCCAAGAAAAACTCGATTGGGATTTCAGCCTTATAGTTGACTGTTTGGTTGCTGCAGAGCCGGTCCAGTCACCACCACCTGCTGCTGTTCCCTGTCAGCTCTACACGATGACAGAATGATACCCTGTAAAACATTAGCAGTACTCAAACATGGCAAAGACTCCTTCTTTGACATGTCCGAAAGTGTGTGTGAATTTTAGTGGGTGCAGACAGATGCAGCTTTGGGTTTAATGTGTAGACATTGCAGTGGGGAAAACAACATGCATGACTCCAATTGACTGGGACCAGCATACCTGGCTTTCAGCAGCAGTTTATATTGGTAGAGACTCCCAACTGAACTTGCTCTTTAGTTAAGGAAAAAGTTTGACCTTTTGGCAAACACGCTCATTTGATTTGTAGCAGAGGGTTAGATGAGAAGATCGATACCATCCTCTTATCATCAGGTGTGTAACCACAGTCTCATTTTTGTCCTTCGACTGAAGCCTGAACAGCTTCCTGACTGGACAGATTCAGTCTGAACTGTCCTGTTTGGATCAAACTGAAGCAGATTTGTTGTCAGAGTTTTTTCTTTATGCAACCCAGAATTTCACCTCCAGCTCGTAGTCCTTCCAAGCAATCCTTCCTACAATGAATCGAGCAGAGTAGAGCTGAGCTGAATGAAGGAACGAGAATGTA